CACCTGCCACAACGCCTGGGTATTTTTTGTTGCAGTTTGGCTGGGGCCAGGTTTCAACCTGCCACCCTCCGTATATGGGGCTGATGCCCTACCCACTGAGCCACAGGCGCTGCCCAGGATGGTTTTTATATGTATTAAAATTGGTTTATTCTGAAAGCAATTGATACAAATTAAGCTTTATGATATGCCTAAATTGTTTGAATGTTGCAAAAAAAGAGCTTATCTCTAGAGAAGATTGCTATGTAATCAATTCTTGGCTTATCTCCCAGGGAATCCCCCAAAGCTGCCTTTTGACTAGTATTAATTCACATCATAACAAAATATGAAAAAAAACTTTGAAAAATACTTAACATTAATCTTAACTATTTTAATTCAATACACAATTTCTAATAAAAGGAAGCTTAGGACTGATACTCTTTGAGTCACTAAAAACTATTATATATATATATGTTTTTTTAGGAAGAGTCTCACTTGTTCGAGTGCAGTGACATCTTAGCTCACAGCAACCTCAAACTCTTGGATTCAAGTGATACTCTTGCTTCAGCCTCCCGAGCAGCTGGGACTACAGGCACCCGCCACAACACCTGGCTATTTTTTTAGAGATGCAGTCTCGCTCTGGCTTAGGCTGGTCTCAAACTTGTGAGCTCAGGCAATGCACACATCTGGGCCTCCCAAGTGCTAGGATTACAGCCATGAGCTAAAAACTAATATTTTTATGTGTACTGTCTGGCAGACATAATCCAAAGACATGTGCACAGAAAAATATTTTCACATGTGTCTTGGTGGATTATGCCTGTACTTCCAGTACTTTGGAAAGCTGAGCGAGAAGGATTGCTTGAGGCCAGGAGTTCAGGACCAGACTGGGCAACAAAAAATAAAAACCATTTGCCAGGCATGGTGGTATGTGCCCACAGTCCCATGTGGAGGATCACTCGAGCTCAGAAGTTCAAGGCTGCAGTGAGCTTTGATCACATCACTGCACTCCAGCCTGGGTGATAGAGCAAGATCTTGTCTCTAAAATGAATAAACATAAATAAATCTATAAATAAATAAAATGGAAGACCCTGTCTGTAGAATGAATTTTAAAAAAATAAATAAAACCAACCTGAGACTTACCAATGCAATCTGCTGTTTAATACGCTCTCGAGCTGCTCTATCTTCTGCCTTTTCTCTGTTTCTTTCCTCTAACATTCTTTTTGTTAATTCTTCTTCTTGTTTTCTTTTATAATCTAACATTTCTTTTCCAGTTTTTCTTCTCTCAATTTCCTTCTTAATCTCTCTCTGAATTAAAGAAAAGGTTTTGAGCCAGAAATAATTTTACAATCTGCTCTAGTTATTATTTTCAATGTGGAGAACTGCAGAATGTAGATGAAATAATAAACTTTATAAAATATAAAGGGCTAGGAGACTTTATTTACAACATGGTTAATGGTCAAGTATCTATCAACTTATAAAACATTGCGAGCAGTCTGTTAACATTCTAACACAGTCAGTGTAATCTGAGGGCAAACAGAATTATGAGCCTTTGGTTTTGAGGCAGTCATTTATTTGGCTTGAAGGAAATACTATCTTTGCTCTGTGGGAACCCCAAAGAGATGATGTATAGTTAGGCAAACCTGGTGAGAAAAACTAATGGTGTACCAGAATGCAGCAACATTCAGCTGCTGAGAGGAATATTCAGCAGAATGTCCACACAAAAAAGAATTAAATTCAATTTTCTGTCTCAAGCCAAACAATTTTAGCTCGAATCCTTTTTTTGTTCTTAGTGTAAAAGACTCATTGCAGAAGGAAAAAGTATCATCTAATTTATTCTCAGGAACTTACAAAAAGAACATATGAAAGTACACACTGTGATCCTATAAGAGAAAACAGGTAATTCTCTTCACTGTGCTGCAACACTGAATTGTAACTAGGAAGCCATCCAAGATCTGCCAAATTGAATGGAATAATCAAACATTCCCTCACTTAATGAAATGATAAAACGATGTAAGTAGATGAATTTACCTGTTCTTCCTCTTTCCTTTTCTCTTCTCTTCTTTCTTCAAGTTTTTTTGTTAGTCTATGTTTAATAAAAAAATGCACTGAGACACATCATATTAATATAAAACAAATTCAGATTTATTTTGCTAAAACAACCGGGGAAATATAAAAAAACAGAAAGAAAAGTCCCTGAATGAATAGCAACAATTTTTCTGACTAGCCTCTGGCCCTTTCACAAACCGCTGAGTCAATGGAAGCCCATCAGAGGCCTAGCTCCAATTCTAAGTGCTTTACTTATCATAACTTTTAGTTACTTTTTTTGCTGATTAATCAGATATCTATTTTAAAATATACAAATACATTTTTAAATATATAGATTGTTAATCCTAGCACTCCGGGAGGTTTAGGTAAGATTGCTTGAGATCATGAGTTTGAGACCAGCCTGAGCAAGAATAAGATCCTGTTTCTACTAAAAAATAAAAATAAATAAAAAAAAAAAATAGAAAAAATTAGGCATCCCACCTACTCAGGAAGCTGAGGCAGGAAGACTGCTAAAGCCCAGGAGTTTGAGATTGCACTGAGCTTTGACAATGCCACTGCACTCTAGCCAGGGTGACAGTGAGAATCTGCCCCCTCGCCTTTAAATCAAATATACAGTATAAATCAATAATTTATAAATACTTTTAAATATTGTAAATAGCAATATGGCGCAAAATTGGTAAAAACAAAAACAAAAAACTTAAGGCCTACAATTATAAAAACTAATTATGGGCTTGGCGCCTGTGGCTCAAGTGGCTAATGCGCCAGCCACATACCCGCCAAACAACAATGACAGCTGCAACCAAAAAATAGCCGGGCGTTGTGGCGGGCACCTGTGGTCCCAGCTACTTGGGAGGCGGAGGCAGGAG